AATTTTCATCGATCTAATGCTTCGATATTGAGATACTTAAGAAACAAAATAAAATGCAAAACTTTTGCTTCTATCAGTTAATTAGTATAGATACGCTTAAAAATAGCAGAAATACTTTTGATAATGACGTCCTTTAAGTTGCATTTTGCCTCCCAGAATCTCGAGAGGGTGTACGTGACTTTTGTGACGTTATCCGTTTTCTTTGAATACAGAGATTCATCCAACAGGAAGTAAAGAATCTCGAAGAAAAAATAACAGTTCTTGATTCAACAAAAATTGCAAGCCTTGAGGCTTGTGAAACCAGCTGTCTCTTACTTGTTTTTGTACTTCTAATGGTGACATTGTCAATTGTGATTGACTTTGTTTTTTGTTTACGTGCATAAATTCAAATCAACTCCAAACATCAACTACAAGAGACTTAAATGAATGATTCGTTCAGGCGAAATAATCTAATATGTATTTATTTGATTTCATGATATGATTTTCTTCAAGATTTCAATCAAAAAAAAATTCAACTTGATACATTGTGGTAGTCTTGACTGATTCGTCGATGTATTCAACTTATATTTCAGGTATCTACTTTATGAAGTTCATTAACGTACCTAAAAACTGAGTATTTTCTAATGAAAGAGAAGCCTTAACGATGAATATTGCATAACTTCAAACGTCAAGTCATGCACTTGTATTTTGATTTTAGTTAATATAAAAAAGGTTTCATTATATTTATAAAGATGTCTCTTCTGTCAAAACGTTTTTCTTACCGTTTTTTTTTGTTGAATCAATCTTAACCATTTGTAATGTTAAAACAAGATTCCATCAGTTTATTAAATTTTTATATATTTTATTAAAAAAAATCTAATCGTTGATATTTTTTTTTTCATACAAAACTTCAAATTTTCTTTTAGTCTGAACAAAAGATTGAATATATTATTGGTTTAAAAAAATCAATCAATAGAATTGAAAAATGTACATTAGAGACATCTATAGAAGAACAAAACTTAAATATTATTTTTTTTAGAAATTCTTTTTTAATTTAAAAGATTTAATAATGAATTAATAGATTATGAATTTTAAATTTGTTACACGTTAAAATATTCATTGGTTAATGTTCTATTATGAAGATGTTTTACTGTCAGCAGTCGTACGACATTGAAAAAAAACAATCTTCAACTTATTTTTTGAGCGCCGAATAATATATGAATATATTTATTTATTTTCCATGTAGACAAATGATATAATTAGTAATTTTAATAATATTAAAACAAAAAAATATATATCTATATATCGATCTGGTATGTATATCAGAAGAATTCCTAGTTGCATCATATATTTATTGTTATTGATTTTTAGACTGTGCTACTGTGCATGGTTCTCTGTCAATAGAGTAAGTAATAAAGAAATGTATTCTCGTATATTATTAAGTTCAAAATAAAATCTTCTATATAATTTCGATAGGATGATGATTTTTTTCTTCTATAACAAAAAACTCGAAGTTGTTGAGCAATTTATAGAGTTAATCATATGCATACAATACTTTTTTTCGATCATATATAATAGTTATTCTGTAGAATATTTTAGAAAATTTATAACTTTTGGTATAGTTTAATATGTATGTATAAAAATCAAGTGTCTTACATAATGTCTTCGAATAATTTATTGAGATTAAGAAATGAGTATATCTCTTGTGTGGTAATTTATGAAAAAGAAAACTTAATGTATTGAACTTTTCAAATATTTATATTTTCCATTGAAACATAGACAATTACATATTGAAATCTTTTCTTATATATAGATCTTATTTGATAGCTTTTCTAACTTTTTTGGAAAAGAAAATTAATCAAATAGTATCTATCTGGATCAATCAACAACTGTTAGGTTTTTTCTATAGTGTTTCTGTTATCTTCAAACGGAGAAAATTAGAATATCGACATGTAAACTCGTTAGATCTATAACTGTCTTTTAGTAAAGATAAAACGTATTATATGTTATCAATAGATAAATCTGATCCTGCAAAAGTAAAAATTGATCTCGGTAGACCAACAAACAAAAACAAGGAGGTAAAGATTATTAAACGTTGCTGAAGATGTAAGAAATCGTTTGGCTCATTTGTTAATAGAAAATTTTGATTAATTATTGCTCGAGATACTGATGAAATCAGTCTTCTAAACGAAAACGAGTGTCCGAAAATCGTTTTGGATTAGAGGAGGAAGATGTTAAACAAAAAATAATAGAACACTGGCACTTCACTAGAGAAAAAGAAAAATTTTTTAAGATTAGGGGTGGGTTCGCCTCCATTCAGGTCTGATATTCTTGAAGTGAAAGAACTATGACATATATAAAAAATTGATCAGTTTATTCTTTTTTGTTAAGCATTTTTAAATGTATGTTCGTCAATTGATAGTGACAGCACTTCACGAGTTGTCGCTTCGAGCATTACGTCAGTCTCAATCGACTATAATGAAATGATTTTTCAACCATAAAACTATTGCTTGATGTGTCTACAAAAATAAAATCAATAAGATTTTTATAAAAAATGTTATCTTACATCTATCTGATGTACAATTTTCTGTAAAAATACATAGTATACTTCGCTAATAAGAGAAAACCTCTCTCGAAGTATCAAATCGTTTTTTCGACTGAGACAATATTTGTTGGATGAGTAGTAGAAAAATTTAGAATGATTAAGTTTTTCGAACTTTTGTTCTCGAGATACAGAAATTTTACTGAGTTAGTTATGGTTCAAATTTCGATTTCAAACATTCCATGAACAAAGTTCTTAATGAAATTAGTTGATTGTGTAAGTTTTAACTTTTCTAATATCTTCTATTCTGAGATAATCAATATTCGAAATTTTCTCATCTGTAAAAGTAAATTTCATTTACATCTTCAGAAAGGAAATACTTAGGTTGTACAATTAACTAATCTCATTAAAAATTTTATTCGTACAAAATTTGAAGTCGAAATTCGAACTATGGCTAATCCAGTAAAATTTCGATATCTCAAGAACGAACGTCAAAAAAAAAAACACCAAACCATTCTAGTGCTTATAAAAGGAACATCGTCTCGATCGAAAAACAATTTGATACCTGGAGAGATTTTCTTGTGAAATTCAATTATGAAATAACTCATGCATTAATTGTATCTGTTAGATCTGATCCTATATAATTTTGGTAAACACTTACAGTAAAATGTCTCTAATATAAGCATCACTGAAATCGACACAAAGTGTGTACTTTATGGAGTTGTCTATTATTAGAAGGTTTTCAGTTTTTTTTATATAATTTATAAATATTCACTTGCAATCGTTTGTCGACTACAGATGGTAATCTTTTTCTTCTTTTCAACAATTAACTAATTGAACTTTTTTAATCAGAAGTAAATCAACTTGTGTTAATACAAAAAGAAAACGACGAGATATTACATCAAGCATTATTGTTGTTGTTGTATAATATTGTTTTTTTTTCTCTTTTAAATATCTACGATTAGTCTATCTATCTTTCCTCTGTGTTCCATGGCTGTTTATCATGATAGAATACACATAATGTTATTTTTTTTCTCGCCTTACACGTAAGTGATAGAACATATGTTGCTCATATAACAAAGGTTCTAATTGCTTATGAGATCAAAGATAAGCGTCTACTACTCCGAATAACGAGGTATGCTCATATTTAAGAGGTTCATTATGGAGAAGTTTTACTGTATGAGTTTATGTCTATATATGAAATAATTTGATAGTGAAAGTATTGATAATATTAGTGAGTGCTCATTATGAAAGGTTTATATCGGAATGTCACGAAGAGAAAAAAACAGTGGGGGGTACTGAACGTCCTTTTGTTTTTTCTTTACGATCTTTGTTTTTAATAAAAAATAAGATTTTGTCTGAAAAAAAAAAAAAACTCAAGTGGGAGGTGTGCACACTTTGAATGACGTATCTCTGCTTTTTTACTATATAATTATTATAATAGATTCCTTATAAAAAAAAAAAAAACGTTCCTTCGGATTAAAACTTTGGTTTATATTCTGAGTGATAATAAATAAAAAATCTTCATTCTATCGATTAAAACAATTAAGTATTATCAAAAGATTTCGATTTCAAAAATTTATTTGGAATTTTTTTATTTCTTTATTTTCTAGCAATCACATAGACTATGAGTAAAACATCAATTAAAGTGGAAGAACAAAATAAAAGAATGCGTATTCGTCAATTTTTTGTATGTTAATATTTATTAAAAAATTCATAATTTTGTTTTAATCTTTATTTTTCTTCTTTTAGTCGCCAGTAGACGATCGCTATGTTAATGGTATATGGAATACGTCATTAAAAACAGCTATTCAAGAAATTCAAAAAAAGAATAATAGTGGTTTAAGTTTTGAAGAACTTTATCGTAATGCATATACTATGGTGCTGCATAAACATGGAGAAAAACTTTATACGGGTACACGTACTGTTGTTATTGATCATCTTGTGCAAAAAGTAAAACACAAAGAAAAAAAAATTGTTTTTTTTTTTTTTATATAATATTTGTTTTGTTTTTTCTTTTTTTTTTTGTAAAAACTTTAAAGGTTAGACAAGATGTTGTTGATTCATTAAATAATAATTTTTTAGCAACACTTAATGCAGCTTGGAATGATCATCGAACAGCTATGGTTATGATACGTGATATACTTATGTATATGGATAGAGTTTATGTTAGTGGACAAAAACTTGAACCTGTTTATAATTTGGGTTTAATTTTATTTCGTGATAATGTTGTTCGATATACACCTATAAGAGATTATTTAAGGCAAACATTACTTGATATGGTAGCAAAAGAAAGACGTGGAGAAGTTGTTGAAAAGTAAGTTTAATTTCATTTCAGTGTCTTTTTTGTTTTTTTTACTTCGTCTGCTATCATATGAGAATGTTATGTGATTTATAGTTGTTTTGATTATTGATAACCTTACTCTTTTTTTGCTTTTCACATAATTCTTCAATTAACATATCGGAAATTAATTATTTATTAAAAAAAAGAAAAGTCTAATCTATAAAATACAATAACATAAAAAACTAAAACTAATGATAATTGTCGTTTATTTATTCCATTATATTTACATTCAATTTTAACATCTTGTAATGCTGGACATTTTTTTTCATCATATAAACTACTCATTTTTTCAATTTTATGTGCACATGTACCATTTATAATACGAAATGCTCCAGCATCAACTATACTTCGTTGTATTTTACAATTAAAATTATAAAATAATTTTGATCGTTCAGCATAATAATTTTCAATAACAACAAGTATTAAATTTGTTTTAACTAATGGTGTTACATAATATTGTCCACTCATACATGGACCATTAACTTCTCCAATAATTAAATTTGACCATTTTAATTTTGATGCTTGAATTTTATAACGTACTTGATCTTGTATACAACCATATTCATTCATAAATTGTGGTATAGGTCCTTTATTTTTATATTTATTATCTAATTCTTCTGGATTTGCTGGTATACCTTTTAATGTAACTTTAGCTGATGGTTTACTAACATGACATGTACCTTGAAATGTAATTGTTTCAGCTCGATCAAATAAACTATGTTTATATATAAGATCAGCCATAACTTCTCCTTCTTTATGACCAAGTGGTACTTGATTATAAAGATTTTCATGAAATGATGATACATTAACAAAATCAGGATCAACAATTAAATAACCTGAATGATCAACAAGATAACAACGTGTTGAACATTCTTTTAAAGGATTTGATGGACATGGATATATAGAATCACATGAACGACGACCATCCGATGCTACCATACGTTTCATGATTTCTGAATGAAAAGAATTATATCTTATATCTGTACCTGTAACACCAATAATACGTTCTGTTGCACAACGTAATTGTTTTTGATCAGGTCCAGGTGCAACACTTTGATAACAATAACCAGATAAACAATCTGAACCAATTGAACATGGACAACCACCAGGAAATTTTGTTGTAGTTGTTGTTGATGAACTTTGTTGAGTTTTTTGTTGACATGTTTTATTCGATATTGATGGCATACCTTAAAAACAAATAAATAACAAACAAATATTTTTTTAAAAGAAATTTTTGATAAAATTGTTTTTTTTTGTTTTTGTTTTGTCATATTTTTCTTACCTTCAAATAATGCTTGAGCTATTGTAATAACTTTTCCACCACCACTTAAATCTAAATAAGGCATTGATGCTGTTGTAAGATCTTGAAATGCAACAGCTCGTTTATACCAAGCACGTGTTGTATGATCATAATCTCGTACAGATCTATGAGCAGGATATGTACGAAAAACTCCTGTTCTCATACCAACATATGTCCATATAAGATCTTTTGTTAATTCTGGTGGTCGACGACGCCAAACTCTTTCAATTGGTTGTGATATAAGTACATAAGCACGTGTATTTTCATGAAACATTGCATTTTTTTGACTACAACCTTTATCATCATCACTATTATTATTATTACGTTGATTTATATAAATATGTGCATTAATAGTTTTTTGTGCTAAATCATCATTATAAAAATATTCACTTGGATCACAATAAACACGTGGTGCAAGCATAATTGATGAATATAAATAACTAACACGTACATCATTATATTTTGGATCATTGATTTTAACCTTCGAAGAAAATAATTTTTACTTCGGTTTTTTTCGGGAGAGGGGGAGGAGGAGAGGCATCGATGTGCCAATTTTTTTGCATGGCAGACAGACATGTGACATTCTTGCTTAGAGATGATTGGATATGTAACAGAAAAGCATTTTTTTCGAGAAAAATTGTTTTTTTTTTGTTATATGTCATTCGATGCAGTTTAATGCGCTGATTTCGAATATACTATTTCTCGAAAGGATGAAAAACTTAGGTTGTTTGCAAATTCATCATGTAGTTCAAGAATGTTGGCGTCAACAGAGATTACAGAGAAAGTAAATTTGGAAAAGTTTAGTTGGTTGGATTGTTCATTTTATGTGACTATCTAGCAAGAGTATATTTTCCTATATTTTAATTTTGAAAAAAACATAGTTTTCATTTTTAATCAAATGTTCGTCTAGATACACACCGTGGAAGAGAAATATTTTACCTGCATATGTTCAAATTTTCCTGGTAAAGCTTTTCGAGCTTTTGTACTATTATATTCAATAAGTAAATTAAAAAAACTTTCATCATACATTGATAAATTTTTTGGTTGTCGAACTTCACGAAATTTTTCATCAGATTCACCTAAACTAAATGCAAATATATAATCTGTATTTTCAATTGGAGACCAATAATAAGTTCCATTACCTAAAATAAATAAGGGTGTAAATATAAAAAAATATTTATTTTATTAATTTATACCAAAATCTCGTCGAATTGTTGCTCGATATGCATTTGATAATTGTTTTGAACCTCGTTGTCCTCTAAGCATCGCTGGTAAAATAATTGTTTGAAATTCTTTTGGTTCATTATTTCTCATTTCTAATTGTGTTATATGTGTAGATATAGGATCTTCAATAGGTATTGTTGTTGATTTAAGACCAGGATGTATTATTGCATCACCATCATGACGATTTATTAAAAAACCATAAACACCACCCCATGTTTTACTTGAAAGAACATGTTCAATATCATCTAATGTTATATCAACACCAGCTACACCTAATAGACGACCATCAATATTTGATGTAACTGGTATAGCATAAGTTAACATAACACCTAAACCCCATTGATCAATATATTGAGATGTCCAACTACCATTAATACTTAATGAAGCTTTAGAAAGATAATCAAAATAATTAAACATTTTATTTATTAAATTTTCACCATCATTTAATATAGCAAAATGACCATCATTGTCACATGCTATTGCAAAAAACAAAATATGAATAGGACAAAAAAAAAAGAAAAGAAAATAAATGATGAAGTTTTTCAATATATTACCTAATTTTCCTGGAAATATTTGTCCATTATCTTTAACAAGATAACTAAATATTCTAGCTCGTGGATGAAATTGTCGTTGTTTAACCGTTGTCCAATATCGAGTCCAATTATATTTACATATTGGTCCTGGTACATAACCACTACGTGTATATTGTCCAGCACCACATCGTACTGTTTCTCCATCTGTATCTTGACCATCTGTAATAAATATTAATATTGATTGACAACCTGTTTTAGGTTTTTGTTGAAATAAATCAAATGCTGTATCAAATGCAGTTTCAAATTCAGATGTACCACCAGGTTTTAATGTTGCTAATTTTTCTTTTAAATCACGTTTAAATGCTAATGTTGCTTTAACCATTGTATCTTGTTGACAACTTAAGACTTCTGTTTTATAAACATGCCATTTACCAATTTCATCCCAATGAGATTCATGTGCACATATTACATTAACATAATCTTGTCGTGTTAATGTATTAATAATAACTGTTGCAATCGATGTACCTATGGCAAATTTTCCATCAGAGTCCATTGATTCACTACAATCAAGAATAATAATAACATCTTTAGGTCCACTTGTTGTCGCTATATACCATGGACGTACACGTGGATCATAATCATTATAAAATCCAGCAAAATTTTGATCCCATTCACGACCTGGATATAAACGTATAAGACCTACATGTGAACCAAAATATTGCCAACGTATATCCGGATCTAATTCTCTATTTCGTAAGAAAATAGGTTCAAGTTTATGCGTCCATTCAACAGTCCATATTGATTCAACATTATTTCGTGGAATTTCATCACTAATTTTTACAACACTATGTTGAAGACTAACATTACGTTTAAAATGTGGATGAAATGTCATATTTTGTGGTAAACGTAATGGTATATCAGCATCTTTATATGTATCATTATCTAAATGAAGTAATTGTTTATGTTGTGTTAAACCAAGTGAACCATTTAATTTACGCCATAATAAATGACTACTTGAATTTATTTTTAATTGTGTTGAATAATCATGTTCACGTGTAAGATATAATCTATCATGTAAATCACGTGCACTTTCAGCAATACGATGTGCAGCACGTTGTTTTTTTTCAAAAAATCCATCAAGTATTATTTTCATTTCATCAAGTAATTGTTCACCAGATTTCGTTTCTTCCTTATATTCAGCTAAATCAAAAAACGATTGAGTTTTTTCTCGATGCATACTATCTGATGCTAATTTAAGAATATAATTTTGAATTAATAAAGCCCAATTTTGTACATCACCAGTTAATGTTGGACGTACAGAACATTCATTAGCATAACAATATTGTCCATTAATAAACTTTGAAGATATAATAATAATCATAAGAAAAAGATGAAGTAATAGGAACATTTTCTTTTTTTTTTTATTATGTGTTTGTTTTCTATAGAAATAGGATTTATATGTTGTCCGACTGGCGTTGTTAACAAGCTTATGCTTTTTCCGATCGTTTGTTGGAAAAGAGGGAACGAAGGAAAAAAAAAGAGGAAAAGACAAACGGAGAAATAGAAACGTCGTTTTCTTGCTTTCTTCTTTTTCCTTTCTTTTTTTTCAATCGAAGTTGTCTCTTAGCGGAATGATAGCTAATAGAACGAGACAACAAAAGAAAGTTAACAAGTGAACAGTATGAGATGATGAGCAATGTTGATTACAAGAAGAAATGTTCATCAGACAGAAAGAAAAAAAAAAAGACTATTCGATTTTGTATATTAAAAACAGAAATTAGAATTATTATTAAAATATTAATACTAAAATCAATAACATCGTCTTTTGCCGATAGAATAAAATTAAAAAATATTCTTTCTTTTTTCTTTTCTATTTTCAGGAGTGCTGTGAAAAATGCTTGTCAGATGTTGATGAGTTTAGGTATTGATAATCGTTCTGTTTATGCGGAAGATTTTGAAATACCATTTTTACAACAATCAGCTGAATTTTATCGCGTATGATAAATTTATATTTATATTAAATTATTGTCAAAAATAACAAAATATATCTTATAATTTTTATTTAGCTTGAAAGTCAAAAATTATTAGCTGAAAATAGTGCATCTGTATATATACGAAAAGTAGCTGCACGTATAAGTGAAGAAGCTGAACGAGCTGTTCATTATCTTGATAAATCAACTGAAGAACGAATTGTTCGAGTATTAGAAGGTTTGAAAAGAAAAGAACAAATAAGAATGTATTTCTTTATTTATTTAATTTAGATGAATTAATTACCAAACATATAAAAACAATAGTTGAAATGGAAAATTCAGGTGTTTATCATATGCTCAAATTTAATAAATGTGATGATATTGCCACTATGTATAAATTATTTGAACGTGTACCTAATGGTCATTTAACAATAGCTGATTGTATGAGTAGTTATCTACGTGAACAAGGACGTGCACTTGTTACTGAAAATACAGATGAAGGAAAAAATGCAATCACTTATGTTCAAGTAATAAGAGATTTTATGATTTTATTTAAACTAGGAAAAAAAAAATCGTATATGTAGTTTTGGAAAATTAAATAAAAAGTATCGAATGATATGTAGGAACGAATATTGAGGTTTTCCTCTCAAATTTTATATTCTTCAGTATTGTACAGTTAAGAATAAGAACTGAGCATAACACCTATTCTTACGATTTTATTTGCTTTATGATAAGCCAAATGTATCGACTCAATAGAAAAGAAATAAACTATTCAATTTGATCTATTTAGTTGAATCAAAACAGACATTTTGAACATTAAAAATTAAAGCCAATAGACGAAAAGATGACCGATAATTTACGGGCATAGAAAAAATTCGCTCCTGTTTACATCTGCTAGACAATTCTCAACATTTCTGCTTCAAAAGATAAACACTTTCATGTCTCTTCATCTTGCCGAACGCTTTTCTCAAAAACTACCGATATCATGCGTCTGCTTGCATTATCACCGGTATATTGGTCGGTCTGACATTCATACCAATGCTGAACTAACGAGTTGTTGTTAAGATATCGAGGTTTTAGTGAAGTTTCTCTGTAGGGCCCTAATTTTCAAGCTAAGTTATATTTTCGAATTTTGATTTGAAACTTTGCTCACATAGAAGGCATCAATTAGACTAAGTTGTAGAAAAAATTTCAGAATTTTTTCATTAAATCTTTCAAAGATATAAATTTTTAAAATATAGACGTTTTGACATGATTATTATAAAAAACATGAATATTTTGAAAAATTTATATCTTGAAGATGGTTGATTAAGTTAGGTCAAAATTCAAAAGTATGATTTCGCTTGAATGCTGTGTCCCTACAGAAAAAAATCTAGTAAACATTCGAAATGTCAGCAACAACTGTCCAGCAGCTCGAAAGCAATTTATCACTTAGGGATCTTTCCTCGTAAGAGCAAAAGAATTAATAAGATACATCGATACCGGACCGGACTCACTGATAATCGGTACCAGAAGATAATCAATTGTGTAAGTATCAAACTACCGCCAATTGATTGCCCCGTATAGGACACGTTATACCGAACGGCTTGAATCATATGGACGCACACTGTTTCTTACAGACTTAATTTCTTTAGAAAATGTTCAAGATTAACTTTGAAAAAAAAATAATCGAAGGATTTATTCGGGAAAAAACATACGGTTCGAGAAAGACCTAAAGTGACAATTTTTTTTTTGTCTGTAATGAAGAAAACAATAATTAGAATTATTAAATATATGTAATTGAAGCGAACTCTATCAAACATAATAAAACTATCTAACGTAATCGATGATCTATAGAGAATGTATACACTTGACTACATATCATTTGATACATGACGATATATTTAAGAAAAATTTCCTATTAAATTAAAAGTTACGATATAATTTTAAAAAATAAAAATTTCTTTTAGAACTTACTTGATTTAAAAGATACATTTGATCATTTTCTCAAAAATGCATTCAACGAAGATAAGGTTTGAATTTTATTTAATTTTCTTCAAAAAATATATATCATTTCAATTTAGATATTTAAAAAACGAATTAATTCTGATTTTGAACATTTTATTAATTTAAATCAACGTAGTCCAGAATATTTATCTTTATTTATTGATGAGAAATTAAAAAAAGGTGCAAAAGATGTAAGTAAAATTAATTATAATGATAAAAACAAAGTGACAAAATCTTTTATTTCTTCAAAATTTCTCTATTTAGCTTGGTGATCAAGAAGTTGAAATTGTACTTGATAAAGCCATGATGTTATTTCGATATTTAGAAGAAAAAGATGTCTTTGAACGTTATTATAAACAACATTTAGCTAAACGTTTATTATTAAATAAATCAGCATCAGATGATGCTGAAAAAAATATGATATCAAGATTAAAAACAGAATGTGGTTGTCAATTTACATGTAAATTAGAAGGTATGTTTAAAGATATATCTGTATCAAATACAACAGCTGAAGATTTTCGTTTATATGTTTCACAAAAACGAGTAATACTTATTTTTATTTTTTTTTTGTAATTATTTAATATTTAATTTTTTTTTTTTTTGATAGATTAATTTGAATGGTATTGATTTAACTGTACGAGTATTAACAACAGGTTTTTGGCCAACACAAACAACTAATAATCAATGTAATTTACCAGGAACCGTTCGTGAAGCTTATCAATGTTTTCATCGGTTTTATTTAAATAAACATAGTGGAAGACAATTAACATTACAACCAAGTTTAGGTTCAGCTGATTTAACAGCAATTTTCTATGGAAAACCAAAAGAAGATGATGGTGATAGTGAATCACGACCAACAACAACAATGATTAAAGAACGTAAACATACTTTACAAGTATCAACTTATCAAATGGTTATATTAATGTTATTTAATACAAAAGAATCTTGGTCATTTGAGGTAGGATATGAATTTATTTGAAGAAATTTTGTATGTAAACAATAAATACTAAATTAATTTCATAAGAAAAAATTTCATTGAACTGAAAAGATTTGAGTCTTTATCGTATGAATGATTGTTAAAGAACTAAAATAGATCATGCGTCTTGAAGGCTTTTAATTAAATCATAGTTACAAGCTATCAGAGATTCTCTATTAAATATTTCATAGTTAATTAATCTTATTCACAGATTGTTATACTCAAGTATAATGTCTAAGAATATATCTCATCCCTTGGAAATTGAACGATCTATCATGATAATGAGAGAGCATACTTATTTTAAGCTTTAAACAGGGACTTGAAGTCTGCGTCTCTTTTGACAACTGTTCGTGTAAAAATATCAAAATATATTTTTTCGTTCGATATCCTTCATTGGATAACAGTAACATACTTATGTCATTCGAACAGACAAAAGTTACTGATAGACCATTTGATATAAAGTACACTATACCGGCAATCAACCAGCAGTAATTTGATACTTAAACTGTTGGTTATCCTCCTCTAACTGCGACATACTAATAGTTGTTCTTTGAGCGGCAATCTACTGCTCGTATATCAAAGGTAGTACGAACAAACGTGCGACATGCATCAAAACAAATAGCAATTTTGTGTTATGAATTATTATGACAGAGCGATTTTAAATGTATAGAATATTACATTAAATAAACTGTTTTAATCATGTCCTTTTCATCAAGAGCAGACACAAATACACACCAAATCTAAGCTACGATCGAATTTAATACATGTGCAATGAAAAGACATTATAACTAAGTTGTATCTTTGAATGTATCAAAGACTTACAATTAACTGTTCATCTTCTAATAACAAAGCTGTTCACACAATCCTTGTAGGATTAAAACTGGAAACACTATATACCTGCTCTTGCTGATCACAGGGAGATTGTTTTATTCTATCTATTCTGGGACACAATTCTTCAATATTCTTTTACTTCATACTCCAGAAATGTGATAAAGAAGTAGTTTATTATTTATAACAAAACGTTATTGATATATGGTTTGTCATGGGTCATGAGAGTGTTTGTGATAGGTTGCCTTTCGTCTGTCACGGTCTACGGAGAGAGTGTATCCAAATCTCTACCTCTATACTTCAACACTCCTGTTAGGCTTTTCGTTATAAGCTTTTTGTTTATTGCTAATAATAAATATTTTCAGGAAATTCATCAAGAAACTGATATAATTGAAAAAGATTTACAACGTGCATTATTACCATTATCATTAGGTAAAAGTAATCAACGTATATTTCTTAAAGAACCTAAAACAAAAGAAATTCAATCAAATGATAAATTTTCAATAAATGACTCTTTTACATCAAAATTATTTCGTGTTAAAATTAATCCAATAACAGCAAAAGTTGAAAGTGATCCTGAACGACAAGAAACACGAAATAAAGTTGATGATGATAGAAAACATGTTATTGATGCAGCTATTGTACGTATTATGAAAACAAGAAAAGCAATGACACATACACAATTAATTGCTGAAGTATAAAAATTTTAATCATGAGATATTTTTGTTTCTCTCTTTACTTTCGAAATTTATTTAATTTAGGTTACTCATCAACTGAAAGCAAGATTTATGCCTAGTCCTGTTTTTATTAAAAAACGAATTGAAAGTTTAATTGAACGAGATTATTTATCACGGTCAACGGATGATAGGTAATTCAAAATATTTATTTTATTTATTTTATTTTTTATTTTTATTATTTTCTATTAATAGGAAAATGTATAGCTATGTGGCTTGAACAAATCCATATGCATTTTCTTTTGATATTTTTGTTTTCTGTAATAAAATGAATCCACTAATATGAATATTGGTTGAATTACCTATATATATATATATATATATCTATGTTTACTCTTCTTCGTCTTCTATTTGTTATTGTCCACGGAATTTAATATTTTGTCTTTTTTGTTTTCATTTGTTCATTGTCTATTTTCTTTGTCTTTGTTTATGGCTAAAATTAATCTGCTCCTTTCTGAAATATATATATATATATATAAGATTCAGATTTATGTGCGTGTTTATTTGTTTATGTGTATGTGTGGATTGACATTCTTTAATTAATCAGTTTTTGAATGAGTACAAAACTTTACAAAAGATCAAAAAAATTCTTAATGAATATCTATTGAAATTTATTTATTCCAATATGTAAGACAAACATAATTTAAATCAATATTTTATACAAAATATTTTTGATAATGAAGAATATACTTCGAAAAATTATCAGTACATTTTCTGTCAGATTTAACAGCATGTTTCGATGTTTGTATAGAGTGTTAATGTATGTTCACGTTGAAAGAAGATTTTCTTTGTGATATATTACAATAGATATAGAAAATCAAGGGAGAAAAAGCAGATTTCCAAAGATTTTAGGTGTCAAAATCTGCTTTTTGTTTCCTTGTAAAATATTGATTTCTTCAAGAGTTATCTTTATATCAAGGATAAAACAGTAGATCTTCGTGGGTCCCAGATTTCTTCCCTCAAACTTAATGATACAGATTTTGGATTGACGTCAAAATGTATCGAACACTTGCCGCTACAACTTAATAGGAACCGATTTTTTAAATTCTTCTGTGGTAATTTTTCGTGTTAGTTTTTCTCGAAAGGTTCGAAAAACTAGGGATATGCCTATGAAAAAAGATTCATTTTTCTTAAAAACGAAAATTTCAGCTCTGTTAAGTTGTTGAGCACAATTTTCTCTTCAATTTAAAATTTTCTCGAGCTTTCTAGCACGTGAAATGGCTAAGAAATCCGAGACGCACGAACAAAAAAAAACTCATTTTGAGAAAAGCGCCACAGAATGTTGAACTTTGGAAATCCAGGTTTTTTTCTACATAGAGCAGTTCACGAGAGGCTCCAAGGATGAGATGCATGAAGTGTACTAGCTAAAACATGCAGCATATATTTTCCAAGTTAGAAGTCTACAAGCAAAGCTACAGGGCTTCAAAAATTAAAATTTACCAAATATTTTCCTGCGTGCGTATTTTTCACAAAATCTCTTGAAAATTGTGAAAAAACTCATTAGAGAAAATCTCTCATAACCATCGTAAGAACTAAGAATAATAGTGATTCCGAAAGTAGAAATTGTGGACTATTCGACCATGTAGAAAGCTCAAAAAATCGATATTTTTGACAGAAGGAGACCTTAAGAGCTATTTCCTAATGCTAGGAATACCTTTAGCAAAGTGAGGGTGACCATCTCCCAATTTTGAAAAACTTTCATTTTACTTCAGCGAAGTTCCAACATTTTATTCTGCTTTTTGCTCGCTAGCTCTTCAAAAAAAGTTCAATCTCTCCTCACGATATCCGTTCAGCGTTTGTAAAAATCTTCTAATCGGCCTCCTAAGTCATCGCGACTCCCTCCGTCGCAATCCTGACGACCTCGAAATCCACTTGCCTAATACAATGAATACTTTTCATGCTAGTAATATTTTCATGATGAACTACATATCGAAACAAGACACACGGACAAAATGTAAGGTTAAATGTTAACCTTGCTAATAAACCAAGCGTGATTGCTTTATTTATTTGAATATAAATATAAAATCATTCGTATGAAAACTTTTCCTTGATTTCAAATGGCTTCATCCTTACATATTCCTATTAAATTATCATTAGATGATAAAGAAAAACTTACAAATTTAATAAAAGACTTAAATAAAATTAATTGGGAAACAAGTGAATATCATTTTCATAATTTTATTGATTATTATCAATTACCACAAATAATTCGTATTGAACAAACATGGAATACAGGATTTATTAAAAATCAATGGATGTATTTACAAACATTATTTGATCGTTATTTAATAATTGTTTCATTACTAATAAAAAAATCTAAATTATCAATAGGAAAATATCTTATTCCTGATTGGTTTCAAGGTGAATGTCGTATATTATCAAAAAATCCTATATTAAAAAAACGTTGGTGGGTATTTCAAGGTGCTTTTGAATTATATCGTTTTAATTTACCACGTACAATTAAAATTCTTTCTCCTACACCAGCACATATTAAAACAATAAATAATGAATGGGAAAAAATTGTTCTATGTAAAAATGTTTATTTAAATGTTATACGTCGAGAAAAATATCAATCACGTATTAAAAATAATAAAGATAATGTATTTATTAGTGAACCAAAAGAAGCATTTATACTTCAAGATCCAGATAATAATGATGAATTTATAGTACCACCTGGTGTACCACTTCGTTTTGCAACATTAATTCAAGATCATGAATTACATGTTGAATATCAAAATCATCATGGAACATTTACATTTCCAGAAATAATAATGCGTTATGAATTTCCAATTGATATTGAAATTCTTACACATTTACCTATTGATTTACCAGATTTTAAACCACAAATTAGATTAGAAAAATTTTGTGTTGCAAAATCTATTTTAGCTTATACAATTGAAAATGAACAAATAAAAATTGTTGAACTTTCACCATTAACACAATTTACTATTCGTTGTGCTAAGTATATAAAGAAAACAAAAAAATATATTTTTGTTTGGAAAATAATTGTTTGTTTGTTTTTTTTCTTGATTGATAATTTATAGATGTTTAACATATGGTTTATCACAAGAAGAAAATTTCAAAGAAGAAAAATTTGATGAAAATGAATATCAACGTTATGAAAATATTCGAAGTAAAATGAATATTATTTTTGATAATATAACTGAAATTTATAGAGGTAAAATTCAATTAGGTTCAATGGAAGAGGTTTGTTTAATTTATTAAATATGAAATATTTAATTTTGTTAATAAAATTATTAGATTGAATGTATTGAAAAAGCTTATGAAAGAAGTATGAAAATGAAAAACGACGATGAAAAACCAGTAGATAAAACTTATTTTACAGTGGATGAAGCATTAAAAGTTATGAAAGAAAAAATTAATAGTGAAATTCCTTTACCAAAAATACAACCAAAACGATTTACTGTTCATGCTAGTGCTGATCCAAGTAAATCAATTAAATATAATTCTCAATAATTCCATTTTTATATCATTTATTAATATATCTAAGGTAATCCATATAATGAAATAATCGATTATGAAAATATGGATGCTTTAAATAAAACCAATGATGAATCAATAAATCAATTACATAAAGGTCCAGCTCTCGTTGTTCAACAATTACCACCACCTATGTTATTACCACCGTAAATTTTCTATGATTTATATTTCAATTAAGTAATTATTTTTTTTTTTTGTTTTGTTTTCTCCAGTGAAACATTTGAAAAAGCAATAAAAGTTGTTCCTGATAAATTGTATACTGAACTTCTTCCTAGTAGAAAACTAAAGTAAGATTATTTATTTAAATTCTCAATATATTAATCATGTTTTCATTCTTTTTTTGTTTGTTTCTATAATTAGAAAATCACGTAAAAGAACAACAACAACTGAGCAACCATTTGAATAACTTAAAATTTTATCTTAATTTTAACCAATCAATTGCAAGAACTTTTCAAATATTGTCTGTACTTTTTCGTGTATTTCAAAAGAAAAAAATATATTAAAAAAAATATTCACAATGTTTCTGTTAGGACAAACAAAAAAAAATGTGAAACTATACATAATGTTAAAGATAGAATGATAAAATATTGTTTTTTTTCTTGGTTCTATTTACATAAAATCTATAAAGTCAAAAATGTCTATTACACAAATAGAAAAAAAAACCAAAAATTGTCATTTATTAACACTTTGTTTCATCATCTTGATCTTCATTGATATGTTCTAATTCTTCATATTCACCATGTTTATATTTATGTCGTAACTAAATGAAACACAAAACAAATATTTTGAAATCATCAAAAATAAAATATTTACTTCATGCATAAATAAACAAGATACATTCATATCTAATTGAGCAGCACCTGGTAAACCTTGTAATGGAGCAGATAAATAATTTGAATCTGATAAACCAAACATTTGCGTATGAATTCTAGAGATAAATAAAAAATAGTGCAATGAAAATAAAAGAAAAATAAATGAATTTTATTACTTTGAAAGAACACCAAATGGTGCTAAGTTTTTATAAGGTAAATCAGCTTTGGATGCACCACTTTGTATTATTGAAGGAGATTGTTGTTGCATTGAAAGGCTAGTTGTTGTATGTGTTAATGGAGCAAAATGAGTATATGTATTTGAATTGCTTAATGGTTTTGGTATTACTGAACGATTAGATATGGATGATGCAGCTAAAAATATAAATTGAAAATTGAATTTTACGGTTATTTCATGTGTTTCATTCTCATTTTTCTATGCCCTTCTAGTTAAACATTAGAATATATTTGGAATAATTAAAACACTCTTTAACCTTTATATGACCATCTGGAGTTCGTCCGGACTCCAGAGTGAGATTCATCGTTATATGATGCATTCATAAAATTTAATCGAACAATATCATTTTAGGTATGAGTTAGAAACACTTAGTACAGTACATTGATAACATCAGTTAGTCATACACAATTGTTCTTGTTATATAGAACAGTACAAAGTATATGTAAATACTGAATACTGATGCATAATTTTAAGCGTCTCGAAAATAGACAATGCAAAAGATTAAATAAATATAGTTCAAACTAATTGCTTTCCTCTTTTTTTTATTCTTCTTGTAATTAAGTCTTCTTTAGAGCCTTCACATATCCATAATAAACTAGTAATAATTTCGTGTGTTATGTTTATTTTATCAATTGGAGTCTACACGGCTCTCACGTGGACAACAAATGGTAGTTCTAAAGATTGTTGTGTTAACGTTAATTTATCATCTGGTTAAAGCAAAAATATTTATTGCAGTTTGAGAAATGTCTCTGAGAAAATTAACACAAAAAAAATCAAAGGTAAAAGATTAAGATTTAATATAATCGATGGACCAGATGTCCTGTCTTACTTTGTATAATAAATATATTTATAGTATTCTCTTTTTAGAGAAAATGTATAATTAAGCATGTTTGACATGTTAACTAAGTACAATCAATGTCATGCATTAGTAATGTCTTTGAAAAGAAAAGATCCCTACATTGAGAATAACTAATATTGTTGATGAATTATAATCCTATGAAAATCTTCTTCTTCTTCTAGTATGTTGAGTAGTGTATCAAGGATCGAACAATTGACAGAAACAATTCAAAGAGTAATGTTTTTAAAAGAAAGATGAAATTCAAAGAAAATTTATTTTTCAATTATAACTTTTATTATTTAAGTAGAATTCTTTTGTTTCAAAGGCAAAACACTTATGGATGACATTGTTTATATTTAGTTAACATGCCAAATACCTAATTAATTGTAACAGTGAGTTCATAATGCAAATTTATTGATTGAGTAACATTCAGTCTGTAAACATTTTAAATATCAACGATGTGAACTACATTTGTAGATCCATCATTTTCTTAGTAAATAAACTAGTGAGGTCAATTTATTAGTCATTTTCAAGAACGCGTTTAATTATACATTTTCTCTAAAAAAGACATTACTACAAATATATTAACAATTAGTATAGAAATATTTATTATAAGACCAGATTTCTGACTCATTTCATATTCATTATTTGAATCTCGAGCATTATCTTTTTTTTTCCTTCATTCTATATTCATAAATGTTAGTTTTCCATACTTCAGTAGTTTATACATTCTTCATTATCAAGTTTCTATTTGGCGTTAATTTCTTTCACTATGAAACTATTTTGATACAAATTGATTAGTATCCCAAGTGGAGTCCATCTAGTTCAAAACTCTCGAATACGATCGAGCCGTACGTTGATAATCTCAATGAAATCTTTTAATCGGAATTAGATGATAGTCCTGAAGATATGAGATATTTTTTTTCAACTTTTTTTGTACTCAGTGATTAACGCATTCTACATAATTCTCAGGCGATCCGAGCCCATCGGATGCAACATTTTTGGACCTGGGGCCGGTCGAATTCGGGACGAACCTGACGTACTCTAACCCCACGGTTTGAAAGAAGGTAGCTAATACCTTTTAGACAGGAATCTAGAACTAATCAACACAAATGTTTCTATCATTTAACCATAATAAAGCATTTTTTAGATAGAAGAAATCATTCCTTTTATATTTAATCTTTCAAATACTTATATAAAGTGCTGAGTATAATTCAAGTCTTACATGTTGGATCACTGTAAAAGCTTCTTTGTACGTTTAAACTTTGCATTTGATTAAGTGATTGTTGAAGAATTGATGATGTTTGCATACTTTCCATAGCTAAATTAAATATAAAAATAAAACAAAAAAATAAAAATAAAAATTCATCTCTTACCTCGTTCTTGTATTTTTTCTAGATAAATTTCACATTGTTTGGGCATTTGCCATTTAGGATTTGTATGATGAAAATGCATTAATGATAATTCAAGTTTTCCATCATTCATTATTCCAGTATCATTTTCAGGTTTTGCACGTACTGGTGCAAACCACTAAATACAAAAAAAATAAAAAGATTTATTTTCAATCAATTCCTTTACTTTCAAATCTCCATGTTTTCCTATATCTAATTGAGCAAAACTACAAACATCTCCAACACCTTGAACATCAATTGTATAATTTCTTAAAAAATCAATAATTTGTAAAGATTTTCGACGTAATTGAATACATAAAATAATTGGTGTTATAAATGGACTTAAAAGTTCTTCAAGAAAATAAACCTTTAAATAATAAAATTTAAGCAAAAAAATTATCAATTAAATAAATTAAAAAAAAGAAAAATAATATATACATATTTTAATTGAAACATTTGTCCAAATTCAGCTTGAACATAATCTGTATGTGCATGATCTTTCCATGAATCAGGTTGATAATGAACATGTGCAAGAACAAGTTGTAACATTTGTTCAGGATCAAAAACAGTATTCTAATATTTGAACAAAAAAAACAAGACAACAAAATATTTATTAAACAAAAATAAAATAATTTTTATTGCTACTTCATCAGGTATTAACGATCGACAAATACCAAGTAAAACACCGAGACCAGTAATTAATGTTAACATATGTTCAACATTAAGTACATCTTCATCATAAATTGTTAATAAAATTAAAACAGCTAATATAGCACCAGTTGTAAAACTAACAAATCTAACAAAAACAATAAACGAACAAGAAAATGAAAATTTCTTTAAAAAAAAAAATACAGTAGTCGTAAAAAGTCTCGCTATCAGGTAAAAAGTATCGAGAGTTTAATCCGTTAATCTTATACTTTGACTACAAATATAGTATGTCGCATTCTGATCGCAAGAACTAATCAGAACTTGATCCGCCTTCATGCGGAGAAGGTAGATGATTAACATAGATCTTTCTTCAGACATATCCCAACATAGAAAACAAATTTTATGACGTTGGACCTTTCATTCGATAGCTTAATGCTGCCTCTATCATCAATAAAAATTCATTGAAAATTTCATGATTGCAGCCATCGATGGAGAAGGAATCTATACTGAGAACGCGCTAGACAATGGAGGATTTTCTGCACTGTGGACTGGAGTACTCTATCTGTGACACAATATAAACATGCGAACCTTCATTTGTTTATATGAAAATGAAGATTAACGCATTTAAATAGTGATAAACCAAAAAACTGTTAAAAAAGGATTTTTTGAGATTCTAGGGAAAAAACTAGTTTCTTTTATCGTAAGCTTTTGCAGGATTGAAGTTTAGATATTTTTTTGTATCCGATAGCGAGACTTCGTATGACTATAGTAAAAAGTTTACTTTGCTGTTTCAATGATACTGTAATTAACAAATGAAGACATATAAGTTACTGCTGGTTTATAACCACGATTCAATCGTTGATTAAGTGAATGATCAAGTTCATTAAAATGTCGTAAATAAAGTCGACCATAATTACTCCAACGACGACTACCTAATACACCTGGTTCACGTCGAACAAGCTAGAAATTTAAAAAAAAAACAAAAGAAAAACCAATAATTAAATTTTATGGCAAAACAAAAAAAGTTTTCTTTACTTCAGTGTAACCATAGAATAAATTTAATACTTGCCAAATAAATATAAATGGTGAAAGAAGAAGATTAGCAAGACCATAGAGAAGAATAAAGCGTGATAATCTAAATAACTAAATATGTACATAAGAAATATATAGATTCAACATACTGTTTAGCTAGCACTTCACGTTGACTATGAACTTTATATTCTTGTTGTAGATGCCATCGTTGATCAAATGGTGCATATGGACCCCCTAATAGAATATTAAAAAAAGTCAAGAGTTACTATAGTTTATACGAAGGAAAAAATAACTAAAAACTTGTACAAATTTTTTCATATATGTTAAAATATGAAATCGATTTCAATACATTTCTAATCAAAAAAATAAGTTTAGACAACAAATTATTTAGCAAACAACTGTTTGAGGGACTGGCAAGATTCATTCATTTTTTTGGAATTTATTTATCAATAGTATATACTCAATTTCAACTATACCAAAAAGGAAATCATAGTCTCGACGAGTCAACCCTCATCCTTGGCTGGTCTTCTGTCCTTGTGAAGGAACCACTCGAAGTGATACCTCACGTTTGAGATGAGATTCCAGTCATTACGTAGAACCTGTTGAGACTAGAAGGATTCTTCTTCATGCGGTGCACTTTGGAAATAATGGTCGTTATAGCGGATTTATTACCTTTGGCACAGTATTTGAAAAAAAAACATGGAAAACCGAACTTTGAACTAAAATTTTGGCCATAAACAGCACTTGAAGTCGTTGGAACTTCCTAAAAACCTCAGTCGAAAAGAGTGATCTCTTCGCAAGATAACAAATTCATAAAAAAACCAAAATTTTCCGTCCTTTTGTTGAAATATCATGGTTTTTTTATGGATTTGTTATCTGGAGAAGGGACTACTCTTTAGGCTGAAATATTCAGAAGATTCTAATGACTTCAAGAGCTGTCTATGGAAAAAGCTTACGGTCAAAATTCATTTATCCAATTTTCTTTATAGATACTGGGCGAAAGGTAAAAAATTCAATGTAATCGTCATCACTTCAACATGGCAGCGCATGAGGAAGAATCCTTCTAGTCTCAACAGATCCTACTTATTGACTAGGGTCTCATCTAAAACGTGAGGTATCATCTCGGGTGATTCCCTCATCAGTCTAATCCCTTTTGTTTGACAATAATACATATAACTGAATTTATAGAAAAATCCTCAAAAAATAAATCCCAATAGCTGCTGGTTGGTTTACTGAATTTTGATAGAGGCCTCGGCTCTAAACACCTTCAGTTTCATGAGTATTAGATGTTCACGAAGTTATGATTTCTTGTTTATTCAAACTAAAATACTGATACTATAAAGAAATTTCTGCACTACAACGAATTGAAAATTATAGAAAGAGCATGGTTTCGATTGCTAGCCTGTGAATCGATGTATTTTTCTTTTGTGTATCCGTTCTGACGAGAATAACACCCATTGAAATATATCTGCAGTATAATTTGCTCGTTTCTTTCTGAAAAAATTGAAAGAAATTTTTGGTATGAAGGGCTGATCTTCTTTTTAAATTCTTTATTGTTTCAACGAAAGTTTTTTCGCAACATTTGCAGATTCTATTTTCTGTCTATTTAAATTTTTATTTAACAACTATTTCCTTTTAATTACTTACAAAATAGAATTAAACGTAGATTAAATTTCAAACCAGTTGTAAACGAAATGCTAGAACAAAATCCAATATATATGTTCATTGATTTTATTTCAAACTTACATATCACCCAATATCGGTAAATTTATTCTCGGTGGTAAAATACCTTTGTTCACTAGTGCTACTTCATAATTTTTAAAACGTAATAATCGATTATGAATATCTAATTCTGTTAAATCTGATTTATGTATACATAAATGATATGTTCGTTGTGCGATAATTAATCGTTGTTGTACTTCATGCCATGTCATATTTGGTAGATCACTCTATATAGATATTTAATAATTATATTTTATTTTATTATTTAATTTCTTACTGGTTTTATATCTAAAGCTTGAGTATAGAATGCTCGAATATTAAAATATGACTGAATATTATAAATAGCACGTGACAAACGATAAATCCAATAAATAATTGAAAGTATTAAACATAATGATGTTATTAAATGCATACTAAAGAATTTAAAATAAATATTTTATTTTTTTTCTCAAAATAAAAATTTACTTTCGAAGACATTGTTTAGGCGATTGAATAACTTGACTAATTTGTATTTTATCTGTTATATTTCTTGCTAATGGTGTTGAACGAAATAGAAGTGGATAATCGATACATTGAATAATAAGAATAGTAAAAGAAATAATAAATAGAAATTGTCTATTAATAAAAATAGAAATGAAAAAAATAAAATAAAATTTATAATTTTTTTTTTTTCACATACACAAGAGCAAAGATTTCAGAAAGAACTATACAAAAGAATCCATGTCGTTGATGATATTGATATACTCGAGAAAAAAAATCATCTAGATCTTTTTGATGACTCCAACGTAATTCTAAAAAGAATAATTTTTTTACAAGATAAACAAAGAAATTTTTTATTTCTATACGTTTTTCATCATTATTTTGATCGTCTTGTGTTTCAAATCCTATAAATGGTGACAATGTTTGATCAGGTACTTCGAGAACATCATTCTCTTCACTAACAACTGTTCGATAATCCATTTTATCAACTGTTCATTTGATTTCAAAGAATATCTGAAAGAAAATAAAACCTTACATTAAATTCATAATTATAATCGAAGATATATATTATTGGACACATTGTGTTTCATATTATTTTCACATAAAATTCGATATGTAATTATGAAATTCTTATATGTGAAAAAGTATAAAAATTAAGAATAAGTTTTACCTTATATAGATGTTATTCTTACATATAATTGCATCATTATCTATTTTCGTTGTAAAATGTCAAAGTCATATATAATAAATAATTGAAGATGAATAAGAAGTTAATCGAATTTTATTTTTATAGATTGTATAGAAAACTATTTCTTTAAATATTTTTCTAATTCCTATAAAGTATGATTGACAAATTTACACACACACACACATACTTCATGTTCAATTATAGATACTAAAAAATTCACTAGACATTTTATTAGTACTCCAAGAAAAAAAAAGGGTATTATATTCATATTCCAGAAGATAATATATATATATTTGTTTAGACCAAGAAAAAATGAACTAAACGGACATCTACATGTACATAGATATAAGAGATCAACATTCAAACTCTTAAAATATGTTCCTAATAAATAAAAAAAACAATAGGAAAGAAGATATTAACAAAAAAACAGGTACAAAAATCAAACTTTACGGACGAAAAATTATTGAGGACTTTTTTTCTGAGTCATAATTAAAAATTTTCTATGTCATTGTGTCAACATACATCTCTACTTTTGTTTTTTTTTTCTTAAACTACAAACAACGACAATTCAAAAGTGCATTGAAATATTTATTTACAATTCAAGTTTCATATGTAAAAAAAAAAGAAAAGAAGAATTAACTTACTAAACATAAAATTCGTATAAATTATTATATGAATATCTAAAAACAAAAATCCGAGTTTATTATTCGAAAAATCCAAACTGAGTTTAAAAAAAATATCTTCAGTTATAATCAACACTCAAACGTCGTAATGCTCATTATGTCATCTGAAAATATAAATAATAGATAACATTAAAATAAAGATCATTTGTCTTTTCTTATCTTATAAAATAAGAAAATAAACTTTATTTAGTAAAATATAACAGACGTATTTTACATAATAATTAAGTAATTCCGTAGATCAATTTCTTTCGTCACAAAATATAAATATTTATCAATGATCATATTTCAAAATAGGTATGTATGAAAATTTGCTTAAAAATTATATGTCTATTCTATTTGCAAACTAAATTATTCGATAATGTAATTTTATAATTTTTCATATTTATGTTTTTTTAATGAAAATAAAGTAACTACTCTTGTGACTACTCATTTTTTTCTATATTTATTATTTATATGCTTCCGACAAGAATAAAGCCGACCGATTGATTGAAACCCGGTAAAGAATCACGATAAATGATTTTCAATTTTCTGGTAAACATTACATCTATAGGAAAGAAGCCATATATATATATATATATATGCTTCGATCGATTCATTTATCTTTAGTAAAGTCAATTCATGCACAGGAAATATGACAACAAGATCGATCTCAAACTGTGAATAAACATAAAACTCATCGCTTATCAATACTTCAAGACATAAGATTGATATCGCAAATTTCATTTAATGAAATTTATAAAGATTCATCGTAACCTTATAGATTCAATGAGCTCTTATATAAAAAAAAACTATTTCTTTTTTCTTTTAGTATTCTTTAATTTAATCGAAATAATAAAATACGACATTTATCTAATATGGAATGTAGCTTTTCGTTCTGTCCATTTTACGTGGTAAGAATATTCGAAGATCATTGGATAAAATGTTGAATTATTTAAACAAATAAAAAAAAAATTTTATTATGCGAAAAAAAAAAATGCTATATAAGTCTAGCAATCGAACGCTTACGAAAAAGAAAGAAAGATTAATTGTATTTATGAGCAGCTGATTAACTCAGATGACCTAAAATAAATATCAATGGATAATTTTCAACTAATCAAAAATAGTCTATAAAACCTCTTTGAAGATTTTATATTGCTCATGGTTTTTTTTTTTTTTCGTTTTGAACATGCTTGATATTTCATTGGTAGTCATCTTATCCATATATCTCTAAACTTGTCAATTACGAAAAGAGAAAAAAAAGTTTTTGGTTGTAATCGAATACAAAACGACCTTGCCATTAGCTATAATCGATATTTTGTTTCTTCGAATATTGCTATTGGCATCAGGGCGTAGAACAAGAGAAATAGTAACCATAATTTTGATGGCAAATAAATTAAATCTTCATCTAAGTGTACCAATTAAATTAGTTATTGTTGGAGATGGTACTGTTGGTAAAACTTGTATGTTAATATCATTTACAAGTGATGCATTTCCTGAAGAATATATTCCAACAGTGTAAATTCCATCAATTCATACGAACTATTTCTATTGTATTTTGTTTTTTTTTTGTTATAGTTTTGATAATTATACATCGAATATAATTGTTGATAATGTTAAAGTCTCATTAGGTTTATGGGATACAGCTGGTCAAGAAGATTATGATCGACTTCGACCATTATCATATCCACAAACTGATGTATTTGTAGTGTGTTTTAGTGTAGTTAGTCCACCATCATTTACAAATATAACAAATAAATGGATGCCAGAAATTCGACATCATTGTCCAGATAAACCATTTATTTTATGTGGTTAGATTTTATTTTTATTGTCTAAGAAAAAAAAAAACAGAAGAATTTTTATTTTCTACTTTTTTCTTTTTATTTAGGAACAAAAATAGATTTACGTGAAGATTGTGAATATATTAATCAGTTACAAAAACAAAATATTCAACCAATTAAACGTGAACAAGGACAACATTTATGTAAAAAAATACGAGCTTTTAAATATGTTGAATGTTCAGCATTAACACAAAAAGGTCTTAAACAGGTGTGTGTGTATATTTTAAATTTATGAAAAAATTTTTCATTTTTTCTATTGATTTATTAAAGGTTTTTGATGATGCTGTTCGTGCTGTTTTATCACCTACATCAACAAAAGCATCAAAATCCTCATGTACTTTTCTTTAAAAGAAAAAAAGATATGAGAATGTTTAAATCTCAGTGTTTTTACAATTTTTTTTTCTTGTTTTTGATCTTGCATTTGTTTTTGTGCAAAAAATAAAAATTTTTCTCATAACACCTAGAAGTTTTTCTTTTCTTATCAAGAAATAAATTTTCTTTAGAAGTATTCGTATATAAAAATATGTCTCCGAAAGAAATACTCTATAGTGATACATATAAAAATAATATGTATGAATATCGACATGTTATGTTACCATCTGAATAAGCACAAATTGTATCACGTACTCATCTACTTTCGGAAAACTGAATGGAGAAATATATGTACGAAGAATAAGACACATGTTATTTTATCTTTTTTTTTGGTCTATTTTTTTGCAAAATTATAAATGTCAGCCGGATGGATTCATTTTATGCTTCATAATCCAGATGAACTATAAAGTTGTATTGTTTTTTTTAAGTCTGTACAGAGCTTGTATCAGTATTTGTCATCTTGAGTTATACTTCTCAAAGTAATATACTACCAGGAGTGAAGGAAGGATGGGCAAAGATTAGAAGAAAAGAAGTTAGACACTAAAGATGTATCTGACAATACAAATACGTTTTTTTTTATATAAATAATGATGTTGAATGAATCTAATAAATCATTCTAAATATGCAAACATTTTCGAAATGATAAAATTTCCAAGTGCTTGTATCAACTATAAAAATTGTTATAATTTGGATTTATTCGTTTATTTGGCATTTTTTAAAAACTTTTCTGACAATATTACCATAAATTTATAACAGTTGGACTCTGTTAGTTCCACACTTTTGTCCTTATGGAATCTCATTGATAAGTTTTTTATTCAGGAGAATCATTTTTGATTGCTAGTATAAGTTTTAATGATGAAGAACTGAAATTCCTATATGTTAATTGAAGAAAATTTATTAAATCTCGTTCAAAGGTTTCAATGCATAGAAAAAATAAAACTAGCAAAGATGAGATTCAATTAAGAAATCTGTAGTCATATTGATGAAGTTACAAATCGATATGATTGAGCCTTTCAAAAGTTTAGAGCAGAGGTAGCAAAGTCACAAGACTTGGATGAACTTAAGCGCACCCTAGATAAGAGGTTGACAAGTTCAGTTCTAGTTCAGATATGAGAATCTATTGAAAATATTCTCTGATCTGACCGAACAATTTTTGCTCGAGTTTTGAAAAAGACACTTCCATGCATAAATAAACCTTTGTTCTGTTACTGAAATACCTTTCTCAAAACAGCACAACATTTTTCGGACAGCTCGGTACCTGGAACTGAACTTTGAACTGAGACCTGGTTGATCTCTATTCTAGATTCGGGCTTCATAAATTAGAATAGATGCAAGCATTTACTTCTCACTTTATCAAATTGATAGATTTGTTCAGTGCATCAAAATTCTCATTTAAATGTCAAGCTTTTCATCCATCTTCAGTGGCAAATAGTACGATTCGCTCATTAGAAAAGATTTAGAAAACATATTTGAGCAGATAATAAGTTTTGTACGACTAAATTATGGACCATACATCAGCGATGACTTGATCTAAGATTCCTACATAAAAACTGAAGAACTATACCAAGGTTCGGAGCTAGATCAACTAGAATTTGCTGTCAAAAATTTGTTCAGTCTTCAGCGGATAAGCATACATGCGCTTTAAACATTTTCAGCACAGTGTACAAAACTACAATGCAATCCCTTTTTTATGTGTAGATTGCTCCTTTGACATTATTCTCTTTTCAGTAAAGCAGATCAAAACTATTTCTTTCGAAAATTGAAATTCAACGGTGATAAACGTCGACATATTTTTTTTTTAAAATGCTTGCATTTTGGTATAAGTTGCGGAGTCTTTTCTTATCTACAACAGTATTATATACTGCAAAATGTGATTTCGAAACAAAAAACATTAACTGTATTTCATGTAGACAGTGTTAAGAACAGAGATCGTTCCTCCATCAGATTGTGAACTTCTCAATGCATATCTTACTTATTATAAATAAGTTTGTTTGTTGATTTGTCGCAGAAATCAATTTATCAACAAAGAAATGTTGAGTTTATGCCACATCCAATAGAGATTTTTTAAATATATATAATCAATTGTATCATCGATAAGATTTTGATTTATGCTGTTTATAACATAGATATCAAATTAATGATTCTTTAATTTATTTTAGAACCACACATTTTAATCTTTTGGCGTCTATTGAAATCAACATAATCAATGAAAAAAAAACAAAGACTTCATTTCTTCTTTTAATTGTTTTTGTTTTTTTTTTGTTTGGTTTATATATTGAAATATTCGTTAGACGAAAGATTTTGTATCGATATGAAATATTTTTTTTCATTGAAATAAAAATTCAATAAAATAAAAGATTAGTTGTATCCAATTTATCTATGGATGTTTCGAAGAGTCTAAACTCATGGAACTGTTAACTTTATACGTAATATATCGCTCTTTGCTACTATTTTTATATGTCGTTACGTTCTTTTTGAATACAGATCATAATTCAATCAAGGAATTACTTCACATAAAAACAAGTCTTAAATTCTAAAGTAAATAGTAAAAACTATGGATAGTTATAAAACATAAATTTTCTCTATGCTAGATTTATATCTTGCTCATTAACAACAAATCTGTGTTAATACAAACGTTTACCTTCTTCTTTCATACATTACTTTGAATAAAATCGTTAAATCAATTGACTCAATAAAAAACAAATGTTACAATTGATTTAAATCGTTCATAATGTCTTTTTGTGGATAAAATTACAAGTATATAGTAACAAATAAACTAAAATCAAACAAGAATTTGTGAAACTAATGTTTGAAAATGTATATTTTTTTTTTACTTATGAATCTAGCTTTCGTTTGATTCTTCTTAGAAGGCAGAAAAGTTAAGTAAGAAAGTCTTCCAAGACGACAGAGATACCATTCATTCTAAGAGGGAAATAACTGACTTTTATGACTTAAAGTCATTTAGATCATTTAAGTCATAAAGTTAGTTGTTTCCCCCTTGTGTCTTCATATTTTCTCTTCTAGAGAGACAATTTAAAATTTCAGCGCGGCGAGTATCCATTTTTCGAAGACACAGACCTATAGTACGTGGTATAATAACGATAATGTTCGTAGGAGCATTGCTCCATCGGTCTCTATGAAGATCAGAACTAAAAATTGTCGTCAAATGTTTTATAGTTTTGGAGCGAATTCTCTCATAAATCATATCCATTAAAACAAAATTCAAGAAAGATAACTAAAACTAGTGGCATTCATTGACTGAATAGATCAAAACATGAGTATTTCCGAAATGCTAGTTTTTTAAATTTAATGCGAATAAATGCTGAAATCGTTTTCTCTAGACCGAAGCCCAAAAACTAAAATCATTGGAATCGGAAGCCAAAAAATTTGGTTCCGCAAATCTCTATTCTGGATATTTCTAGTCATATGACTAACAATGAATGAATTGAAAATCTCAATTGGATTACATTACTTAACTCTACTTTCCAAACATTCTCAAATGATAGTTTAATTGCACTAGTAGTAGATCCGATTCTCAAAACAAAATCTATCTATATGTTCTTTACCACGTCGAGTTAATTGATGACATGAATTAAATGCATGTAAACGATGATGACCAGCATCTCGAATTGTTTTATTATTTAATTCCACGTAATATATCAATAATATAAGATAATGTTGAATTTGTTTGATTTAAATCCGAAACTAATTTTAAAATTTCAATTGATATTCGTGTACAATTCAATAGATGATGTTTTATATACTTGTCGACAATTATCACATTCAGTTGACATTATACGTTTACATTCAGACGATGAAAATAATTCACCAAAATATTCTAAAAGTCTATTTTGAAAATAATCAACAGAGAAAAAACATTATTATTTTTTTTTTGAAAATTTTCTCTTATTAATTAATACACTGTGTTCGTCGACAAATTACTTAGGATAATCCAAAAGTAGTGTCGTCAGGGACTTATTCCCTAAGAGTAAGCTAAGAAAGAAATCCTTTTTTTACCAATAGATAGAGCGTCTTTCACTCTATCTTTCCATGCTATTTGATCATACTTCAACTAATATCATGATAATAAACTTTTGATAAGATTTATTTCCTTAGCGTGTGCTGGTGGTACTTTTCCATTGCAGTTTTCAAACCATTAACACGTTTGTATTAACAACCAAAATATACCATTAGATGCAGCACGAAAAGCTCTATAATTTACATACGATCATCTACTTTATCGTTGCACTTTTTATTTACGAATGGATCAAAGTTTGGAGAAATTGAACTGCTACAGTGAAAAAAGCTAATTTTTGATAAACAACAAACTCTTTTTTTTTTGCTATCTCATTTTTCTTCTTCTGATATGCTTCACAAAAGTAAAACAGAATACACTAGAAGATGCAGCGTGAAAAGCTCTACAATCTGTGCAACAAAACTTGTTGTAATTGTTTTCGAAAGAGCGCAAAATTCTGTGCGATCTATTTTCGAAACATCAAAAATTGTTCGTTCAAAACTTTGTTCATTTTAAAAACAAAAAGTATAAAGATAAAATAGGCGTTCCTATCTAAATTGTAGAACTTTTCATGCTGCATCTAATGACCCATTTTAATTTTGAACACTATGTATTAGTGGTTTGAACATTGTAATGGAAAACATGTTTATTTAACATCTGTAACAAGAGTACATGCTAAAAAAATAAATCTTATCGAAAGTTTATTATCATGATATTAGTTGAAGCATGATCGAATAGCATGGAAAGATAGAGTGAAAGACGCTCTATCTATTGGTAAAAAAAGAAAATTTTCTTAGCTTACTATAAGAAAATAAATCCTTGACGACACTACTTTTGGATTGCCCTAAGTATATATAGAGGAGTTCGAGACATTTATGCCGCACATAGTAGTTTTATAAGTGTTTGTTTCTTCTTTGAGCAAAGTAAAAATATATGAATACATCCATTTTTGGATAACTTGTTCGAGGATGGGATGGGTTGTATGATATGAGACCAAAATTTTGAACTGACGGATTTATAGTGAATGAATTACAATTCGAAATTTCGTGTTCAGTGTTCTTGATACTGCCTGTTGATGGAGCATAGCCAAACCTCTCTCCTTTGAATAGTCAAAAGTTATAAACTCGACCTCACTTCACATGAACTATCTCATCTCTCAACAGGTCATCCAAAAATGGATGTATAGATGTATTCACATATTTTTACTTTGCTCAAAGAAGAAGCAAACATTTATAAAACTATTATATGCTGCGTAAATGTCTCGAACTCCTCTCTATATATATGTATTGCATTCTATTTTCATACGTCGAAAATAATATAAAAAATTTATTTCAAGATGGGCGAAATTTTTGTCGTCAACTAATTATTTAATTTTTCTTTTTCTTATTGCTAAAATATGAAATTTCTACTGCTATTTAATGAACTAATTATTGTACATTTAATAATATAAAGTTGCTTAAATAAAGTTTTTTTTTATTACCTACAAATTATTGCTAAATAATATTTTAATTGTTCCTCATTCCAATATTTTTATTACTCAAATAAACGCCAGTCTTATAATTAAACGTGCACTCGGCGTGAGCCACAAATCCAGATACATATTCGGCTAATCTTTTTAGGCTGAATATTCTTGTGCTAGACATTGTTCATGCTGATAATTGATTATGCTGAAATTTTCTGTACTTTACACATCAAAACTTTCGTTGTTAGCATTGTTCATATGAAATAAAGTCAGTAATTTACTACATGTAGAAGAGATTTAAAGACTATTATACCTATGTTCTCTGTTCTTTGTTACAGCACAGTTTAGATTAAGAAAATATTTTCTTTTATTGATAACTTATAACAAAGGAAAATATTGACGGAAATTTTTTGGACGAACAAATGATCGACATACACCAAGACTTTTCAATGTACCAAAATTGAAATCCGATGCATCTTTGGTGAAATTCTTTGTTATCGTTGTGAGTGATTTGTATCTGATTCGGAGATTTAACAAACGAGGTAGATAAGCATTGTTTTTGAAAAGAAATATTTTAACATAGTGAGCATGTGCACGTCGTAGATCAAGAAATGTGAGATAAGGAAATGTGATTAATGTTGATGAATGTGTCTTGTACTTTTGTGGATGATAATTATATATATTTAAGACTTGGAGAAAAGGAAAATCGTTAGAGATCAATTGAAAGAATTTATGTTCAAAAGGAATTCCATCAGACACCTTCAATTGTCGAACTTTATCAAACATACCACCTTGAAAAGAATTGTCGATCGCAACAAAATCTTCGAAATCATATGGAAGTGAATAGATTAAACATCGGCTTGTAATCTTAGAATAAGTATGAATATATGAAGTAACTTGTTGATATCCTCTTCCAATGAAACTACGTTGAATATCTTTATTCGATGGAAGTTCAACTTTAACTTCGTTGTAGGCTTCTGTGTTGATACAAAATGTAAATTTCTTTAATTGTGTCATATAAATAAGAAATTGATTATATAATTGAATACCATCAATATAGGTCGAGTTAAATCTTGTTACTAATAGAAATAATTTCAATTCTTCGAGATTTATCATGCGACAAAGTAATGGAACAATTAGATTATCATAATCCCATGTATCATTAGCTGTGGTGAATGAAAGATATTTCAATTTTGGAAGCTTTTTCTACAAAATAAATAAAATTAAAATTATTTATCTAGTTTAGCATCTTTCTTGCTGAAGAGTTACTTGAATTTCGGCTCAAGGAATTTTCGTCCCAGAAGAAAATTTTTTTCATATTAAAATCGAATTACACTCAGTCTAATATTTATTTTGTATCGGACCGAAAGTCCGGGGCGAAAATTCCTTAGACCGAAATTCTAACTTCACATGCTGAACATAATCATTGAAATTCTACTCACCCTTGAACCTCTCTCTATTATTGGATCAAAAATATGTTCCACATTAATAATTAATGTTGATAAAGAATCGAGACGACCATCAAGAAGATAAAGACAATCAACAAAACTGAGAACATGGATTTTTAATTTGATTAAAGTTGACGACATATAATTTGATGATCGATAAAAAACGCGAGTCTCATATATTCGCGTGCGAAACATATCACAAAAATTCAATACAGTTAAATTTTTACATAAAGATACGATTAATTCAAAAATCTTTGAAACAGTCACGGAAAAACGTTTTGTTGTTCTTTTAATATCAATATTAAGATGCGTTATTTGTTTGGTAAGAAGATCACGAAGAACTAAATCACCTTTAATTTTAAAAAAACACAGATAATTATTAATTTACATGATTTATCAGAATCTTAAAAGAGCATTGGGCAAAATGCTTATAACGTTATAACAGAGAGATAACGTTATAACTTTGAGAGCTCGAGACCTGCAACCTTCGTTGTTCGAAAGAAAGGACAGTGAGATGTTGTCGATCCGTTCTTTCGAATGATGAAGACTGCAGACCGCTAGCTGTCTCTGTTAAAAAGTTATATGCATTTTGTCAATGGCCATTTTTATAAAATTCCGATAATTAAATTCATTATCTCGTTAATTAAAGCGAATAAAATGAAATAGTATACCTTTTAAATATTGATAAAGTATTTTTGCTTGAAAATTAATTAATGATAAAGAATAAAGTTCAGAATAATTGGCAGCACGAAGAATATCTTTCATTGAATATTGTTCAACAGTCAGTTTATGTACTTGACGATGAATGCGAGGTAAGATTTTCGAACAAATTTTTGAAAGAGTTTCCGTATCTATTGAAGGAATTTTATCGTAGAGCGAATTAATGGTCATAATATCAGTCATATCCAGATCATGAACATTAAGAGGATCAAGTGCTATAATCGATCAAATTGTTGATTAACACCAACTAGTGAATGGAATACATCAATTGTATTAAGTTTCTTAAAAATGATAAATAAAATTTCATCAGGTAAATCAAGTATATTGAGATTATCATTATTTAAATTGTTCATGTCTATAACTAACTCACAGAATACATTTATCTCAATCTATATTTATACATTTCATACCGTCTATAAGAACAATGACGGATAAATATT